ATTTATTATTTATTTATTTTTTCTCCTAATTCTTCCTTCTGTGTTCTCAATTCCTGTATTACTCCGTGTCTATAATGAGCATGTTGTTACATATCTTCTCGTTGGTTCTGCTCTCTCCCTTTTTTCTTGGCAGCATTACCCACATCCTCCAGACCTTTCTTTCTCTATCTTATATCTGTGTCCTCTGCAATCTCCCACCCCAGTCCATACACACGTCCATATCATGCACAGTCCATCCTTCATACCCCCTGCACATATCGCCATCTTTAACACGCCCTCTTCCACTCATTTGTGCTAATTGGCTATGCGTCTTCTATAACTCCAGGATCAACACAAAGACAACTCCTTTCTGCAAGTGGCTCTCAGACACCTTTCTCTCAATCTCTTTTTAAACTTTGAAGCCATCTGTGAATCACTCTTCTGCCCTTTATTTCTGCCAGCAGTCAATCCATTGCTGCATCTGAGTGTAATTTGGGACTCAGAAGCATCTTTCACTTTCACGCTCTTTTTTCATATCTACAACCAATGCTCTTTGTCCTTCCACTCCTCTATGACAGTCTAAAATGATGCTTCATGCAACATGCTTACTTCAACTGTCTTACACAGGGCTGCGAGATAAATAATCTGAAAATAACTTTGGCCATAGTTATCTTCTGTTTATAAATATCTTCTTATTGAATAAGAATAAAACCACATAAATGCAAAATAAAAACTCAATGTATTATTTAAAAAATTCTTCTTTAACTGAAGGCCATTTTTTATTTTGCTATTCAAAGGGGGGGTAATGGTCATTTCATTTGATATAGTCTTGTAGTAGCCATGGACTTGTCCACTCTTAGCTCCAAGTGTCCCCTTGATCTATCTATGGTCTAGGACATATGAGATCCATCTGTGCTCCCAAAGGCTTGGCCAATTCCCTCACTGCTGATGTTAATCTTTGCTTTTCTTGAAGCTCCTACTATGCAGTATTCCCCTTGACCACTCCTCTTCACCTCTGGATTTCACCACAAATGTCTCGTGCATAAATTCCATACACTGAAGTCCCTGAGGAAATTATATGCTTGGTATGGTACAATCAATGCCCTTTGGGCCTCTTTTTCCCCTCTATAGCAGCATCTGAAAAGATGTTTTCTGCTGCCCTGTTCTGCATCTATTGTACCAGCTAACCTCGGGAACTATTCCATTGAAGCCACTCTTTCACAAGAAGGGTGTCTCAATACATGCTATATATCTCTTATTTCCCTGGTGATTTCATGGGTAACTTTTCTTTAGTTTGAATATTTTTCACAATGTTCATGACACAAATTTCCACTTTATTTATTTCAGACACTCAAACCTTTTGTGATTATTTCAATTTTAAAAGTCTTTACGAAATATTATATGAGTTGTATTTTGCTCTTGAATTCGCTAACTAATTTTAACACACAGATTATACAACTAATTATAAAACCCCATGAAAATAACAAGGTAAATGTATTGTTAAGTCATTTCTAAACCTATGAGTTTATCTGACAGCCTCTAAGAAACCGTATGAAATTAAATATATTATATAAGATGTATGAAAACATGAGTATTATATATGTTTGATATATAAGAACTTGAATGATGTAACTATTTGAAGACACACTTCTATTACATGTAAATGAAAATCTGCAAAGTATACTATTTTGCTCATACTGTAGCCTTGTATTATCTACATAAATATAATATTAAGGAAATAACTACATACACAAAGTCTACTAGAAAAATTTAATATTTATGAGTGTCTCTGAGGGTTTGGGGCCAGACATGGTGATTACACAGCTGGAGCCTCAGTTCACTCATCTGTGAAATGGAGACTATACCTGCTCCTGAGAATTACAGAGTTAAACGAGATATCACATGTAAGAGCAGAATAATGTCAGGCAGGTAGTTAACCATAACAAATCATTGATCTAATTACCAAAAGCAAATGACAATAATGAATGGTATTCTCCAAAATTACTATGACTCTAAAAGTTTCTTTACAGAGACTTATGTATGGACAATGAGGACTATTGAGAACTCAAGAACAGTGGCAATGGGTTTTTGATCCTACTGCATGTATTGGCTTTGTGGGAGCCTAGGCTGTTTGGATGCTCACCTTACTAGACCTGGATGGAGGTGGGTGGTCCTTGGACTTCCCACAGGGCAGGGAACCCTGATTGCTCTTTGGGCTGACGAGGGAGGAGGACTTGATTGGGGGAGGGGGAGGGAAATGGGAGGTGGTAGTGGGGAGGAGGCAGAAATCTTTAATAAATAAATAAATAAAAAAAGAAAACCTATGCACTTTGTTTTTGCTTTTAGAGACAGCGTCTAAATATATAGTGACCTGGATCTGGTGATCCTCCTGCCTCAGTCTCCTAAATGCCGAGATTACAAAACTGCCCTATTCCTGAGTATATCATCTACTCTTCAGTGTTCTCTTGCTCAAAGATGATCATTTCTAGCATGGTCTGTGTAGACAAATCTAGCGATGGAGTCCTCTGCCCCTCTGCTACTGCCGAAGCTTGGCAGGAGACCCGAAATGCAGTCAGCAGAGTGGATCCTGGGAGTACTGTGTGGGAGGCGCCCATAGCAAAGCCAGGCTGCAGCTTGTCTTTTTTTTTTATCTTTCTGATGAAACTGAATTTTTTTCCACTTTAACTGAAATCCAGAAAAATCATTCCCACATAACATGAAGGAATTATAACACACAGCTCTATTCTTCTCAAGCAATTCATCTAATAATCAGTGGCTAGGAATGGGGGATGTGACTCAGTGGTAGAGCCAATGCCTACAACTTATGGGGTTCCGCATTAAAACATCAGCACTGCAAACATTAATAATTAATAATAGGACACACAAATTCTAGGTAACTAAACACAAAAAATATCAAATTTCTATTCTTAAGGTGTCATCGCATAAAAAAACAAAAGAAGAGAAATAAATTCTTTACAAATTAAGTAATTAAATAAATGAATATTAACGGAACTGTTGTGGTCCAGTCACTATTTTATGTGTTAAAAATAATATTACTGGGAGAAAATTCAGTAAAGAAGTTAAGAACTGTGCAGATAATATTGATTAGTCACCAGGGCACTGAGACCTCACTCAGAGCTATTTTAACAAGCTGCCGGTTATTACAGATCCATCATCATCCCCACTAGATGATTCCAAAATGGCCCTGGAAGAGGAGGCAACAGGGTCCTCTTGCTGGTCATGTGCCACCTTTTCAAAGCCTGGACAAACTGCAATGGAGTGGGGCAGTTCACACTGACAGGGTATAGCAGACTTTATGTTGAATAGGATAAAGATAAGTTTACCTTCTTCAACTAGCACAGACACCCAAAGCTTAAATACAAGTGTCTGATACATCGGAAAGCTAGGAATCAGACCACGTGGGAGATGTGCGTGTGTGTGTGTGTGTGTGTGTGTGTGTGTGCGTGTGTGTGTGTGTGTTCTACGTGGATTTGGTGAGATAAAAAATAACAGATAATTTTCACCAAACATGAAATATTTTCATTGACTCAAAGTAAAACCTCAAAAAAGAACCATCTCTAGAGTTTTCCAGCATCCGGGGGAATGACAAGTCTTCTTTCGGGCTTACCTAAGCGACCATACTGAATGATTTCCGAGACAAAAAACTGCATAATCATCTCATCGGTTTTTAAGACCAGTCTACTGGAATGGATGCAGTATCTGAAATCACTTAGCACCATTTTTGAGAACACACTAATTTATTAAAAAGAAAATGCATTCTCCTGGCTAAAAATCGTCAGTGGCTCAGCCTACGCTTTGGACAGTGTCACCGGCCTCTCCGCTCTTGCACGGGGACTGCCCACAGAAGCCAGGCTCGTCAGCAGTGCTTGTGGATGAATAAATTAAGTCACTCGTGATTACACATTGCAGAGAAAATTAACCGAGGACAACGCACTAGTCTCCCCCAGCTGCTGCAAATCTTTGCATTCATGGTGTACACACACAGTTGTGACATTTCACTCTTAGGGTGGTTGTCTCAACCATTGGTAAATTATATTTTTTTAAAAGCTAAACATTCTGTATGAAAATCTTAAACTGGGAGTCGTAAAGGGAAATGCCGTAGATGCTAAGAGAAGGTTTGGGGGTGCTATTGGTCTCGTCTCGGGAAGGCAGAAAATGTCTTCCATTTTTTAAAAAGGCAAATGACTACTGTATAGGATTTCTGGCCAAGAACATATGCTAAACTCAAAGATAACGCTAAAAAAATTAAAGAATGGACAGTATTCATAATTTCCCTTCCAAATCAATATACATTCTGATGATAAGTATAAAAATTACTGTTTTTCATGTAAGGCATAAGGCCCAGATCAATGGGTTCAATGCCTGAACAGCAAGAGAAAGGGCTCCTTTTTATTCTATTATTTCTGAATAAAGCATATGATACTAAATTCTGGTAAGAATGGATCATCTTTGACTTTAGTAATATCCCTTGTTATATATTAAAACATTCATAAAGGAATTACAATATTTTATTCACAAAACCTAACAACACTGAGTCACCCCTGGGCTTTCGTTTCCAGTGCTCACTTCCCATCCACAAAGAGTGAACCATCTTATTTAGAATGTTAAAAAAAAAAAGTGGATCCACAGGAAGCGATCAGATAAAATCATTTTTAACACATTTCTCTCAAATTCAAAAGAATACATTTTTTGTGATACAGAATTTCAGACATTTTACTAATTATCCCAATAATAAAATTCAGACGCTACAAATGAGCTAGTCATGGTGATATTTCTTAATAATTTGCAACATAGACAAAAGGCATATTTTTATAGATGCTTTCTATTCAAAATAGACTTGGTTGGTGGATTAATCTGCATAAGAAATTCCATATCTTTTAGACAATGATCAGCACGGGCTCTTGGATAAAAGACCAACCATAAAGATAAACCTAAATAAAAACATTCCAGTTCTTTCTCAATATCCCCTCATTTAAGCATCCAAATAAAACATGCAGTACCTTTTAATTTTCTGATTGAGTGACTCCCAATCAGTGCTTCCTCTCTTAGAGACAAGCTGAAGACTCTGGAGAAAGAAAACAAAAGAAAACACGTATATACATATAGGCTTGTCAACTAAATATTAGAAATCGGAACTCACCAATAAGTCCATTCGTCTCTCATATTCAGAAAATAAATTTACCATTTAAAGTCTGTACTACAACAAATGCAGCGCATATTAAGCTCAATAATGGATTTAAAACACGGTAATCCAAGACCACATAAAGCAGATCCTTTGCATAGTGGATTAAAAATAAAGTGAAATAGATCGTAAAAGCCTTAAAGCATTACCAATGCATATGCAGCAACGTCCCCCTGAAGCGAGTCCTTTGGAACTGCTGCAGAACCCTCCTCCAAGAACACTCCCTCTCGCTCCAGACAGACGCAGTCTGAAAGCCACCAGCTCGCGTCTGTGTGTGCCGGGGAAAGGGAAGCTGCAAATTAAAAAAAGTCCCCGCAGTGGCAGAAAGGAAAATAAGGCAAATAGGAGAGGGAGAGAGAGCTCACTAGGCTCGGAATTTTCGAGAAGGATGACGAAACACTTAGCTCCGCCATCATTCACTGACAATAGGATGGTGCCCTGGCTTAGGATTTAGCGGTTTGCCACGGGGGCTTTTGGTACCAAATGCCTGACAGGCATTTTAATCGCCTCCATCCAAGTGTGTCCCCAGGAGTCTAGTCTGTAAGCCTATGAAAGTCATCATCTGGCCCCTTTTGTGTTTTTTACACACACACACACACACAGAGAGAAAGAGAGAGAGAGAGAGAGAGAGAGAGAGAGAGAGAGAGAGAGAGAGAGAGAGAGAGGAAAGAGAGAGAGAGAGAGAGGAGAGAGTTTAGGTTTTCAGGCATATAGGATTACAAGCGAGTTAAGCTACACAAGCTGGGCATTAGTAAATGGTTGTTTAAGGGAATTTTTATTATCTATATGAGGGATATTAAGGATTCTTTTAGGTTTTGTCATGGAAAGATGAATACAATATTTTAAAACTACTGCATATTGCTTATTCATGTTCCAAAATTAGGCACTACTAAAGAGATGTATATATTGGTATATAAATCCTACAGAAAATTTTATGGCTTTGAAATTGTGATAATTACCCACTGGGCAATGTTTCTCTGACAGGGCTTGCCATGTGATATCTGTGTGCAATCATTTTTTTCTGATTTCATACAAAGGGAGGTGGCAGCCAGTTTGCGTGTGGACCTTTATAGTCCCTGAGGTGAGGGCCATTACATGGAGTTCAGTGTTTGGCATAATCAGTCAGCCCTTCAATGTTAGCAACAGAAATTCACAATTAAATATCGCTGTTATACAGTGCCTCTGTAGGGGACTTTACTGTAGAATAATTCTCCACATGTATTATCTGGGAGGAAACGGTAATGAATGAATTGGTAAAGCATTGTTAGAACCCTGCACCAGAAAATGAAGTGAATTTGCTGTGTACCAAGAGGGGCAGCTGCAGAGAAGGTTGCTGAGAGGAAGCATCACCATGGTTACCGGAAACAAAAAGTGAGGAGAGAGAGAGAGAAATAAGGTGATGCTGAGCAAGAGAGAACAAGACCATGGTGGAGGAAATCTGGAGACAAAGGACACAGTTCCTTTTCCTCTTTCCAAAGAGCTGGGCTTCTGACACTTGTGTGTTGTATTTTGAATTCAGTAAGATGGATTTTCATTTTCTTCTGCTATGCTCGTCACCATTTTTTATCATGAACAAATCTTGTTTTCATAAATATTTTTTTCTTTTCTTTTTACATTAACAAAATACCAATCCAAATTCCCACTCCCTCCCCTCTTCCCATTCCCCTCCTACTCCCTTCACACACCCTCAAACCCCACCCCCTCCAATCCTAAGAGAGGGCAATGCACCCTATAAATATCTGTTTTTATTCTTTTCTATGAGATCGATCCATCCATATCTGAACCCTCAGAAACCACCCAGCCCCACCCCAATACCCTTCGTTTTCTAGATGAGAAAGTAGAGGCCCGAGGCCTGCTACCAAACCAAATTCACAGGCAGAAGCAGCAGGCTGGCTTCTCCATTGTCCCTTCTCATCAAGGGACTTTCTTTCCTCTCCTCTCCTCTTATGCTGTTTGCAGGAAAAACAGAATCCAATAAAATCCCTTGTCTTTCTCTAAACCTTTGATTTGCCAAAGCAACAATCTTCCCTTTTGAGACACACTGCAATCATCCTGAGAACTAGGTTTGCTTAAAGTCTGTGCTGGACTGTGCGAGGCCACAGAATCTTAGGTGATTATATCAACAGCATTTCTTTTTCTAGTCTGGTAATCAGATGGATCATCTGCCCATTGCAGATCTATCTTGTTGATCCAGCTTACTCATCAATTCCTAGGCCTTCTGATATTATGGACATCATTTTTGCAAGCATGAAAATGGATAATCAAAATGAGCCAGAATTCCCCAGGTTCCTCCTAGATATGACAATATAAATCTTGCTGGAGTCACCTAAAACAAAGAAGCTGGAAAACAGAGAGTCCTGGTGTAGTGTGTGTGTGTGTGTGTGTGTGTGTGTGTGTGTGTTTGCATGTAGTAGAAGTATCGCTCAAAATTAGTCACAAGAGGATGCAATATATACTAAAATCTAATTTTTAAACTACTTAGTACAAATTGTAGCTAGGTTTTGATCATGGCGTATTTCTGTTTATATACTGTATTTTTTTAAACAGTTTCTTTTCAGAATTGGAAGTTTAGCTTACTGGTAGAACTTGTGTTTAGCATGCAAAAGGCCATGAGCAACTCTCTCTCTCTCCTCTCTCTCTCCTCTCTCTCTCTCTCTCTCTCTCTCTCTCTCTCTCTCTCTCTCTCATTAGTTTAGGTCAATTCACCTAAAGATAGATAGTCACGCAAGTATCTACAATACACAGATGACACCACCATCCTCTTTCCACTGTACCTTAGCTCAGCTACCAAATGAAGAAATCACATTAAATATATACACTGTCATAGATGCTATGAAAGAGTTCATGTTTTAGTAAATCAACTAGCTAGTTTCCTCTCACTACCATCTCTTGTCTTTTTAAAAATATAATCTCTTCAAAATGCCTAATTTTATTTTTCACCAGAGGCTTTGGATGTGATTTTAGGATGATTTCTCAAAGCCTATGAATCACAAAGGCCTGGCAAGACATCCCCAATGGTGCAATAACATTTTTATTTGGGGTTAACCAATGACTGTTTAATTGGACTACGTACTGCTCAATAGGAAGGAATCCATACTTGCTACTGTATGCAACCCAAGCCAGCTACCCATGGCAGGAGAGTCACAGTTCCTAGAGGAGAATCTATGAGTGCCATTACCCTAAACTAGCTTAATTTCTGCCTGTGGTTCTCACCACTCATCCAAGGACCTTCCACTTCAACAGATAGCGTTACCAAGATCCAGAGGTGATGAAAACACAGAGGATAAATGATTATGAGGTGCCCAGTCATAACTAGTAATCCACACTGCAACCTTCTACTCAAGGCTCAAGGAACATTTGCAGAAGAAGAGCTAGAAAGACTAAGTGCTAGAAAATCTGCTGAGTGATGGTGTTACCTACTCCCCTTCCAGACACCACAAAGTGGCAGGAATTATGAGGTCATAACAGTAAGGTTTCCTAAACAAGATGTGAATAATGATGGCACCTGTTCACATGCCAATGTGGCTGGAGTAAACTTCACTGAGCCCTAGATAAAGAACTACGGTCAATTAATGATAGCTGAGGGACTGAGAATCATTTTTTCCCCCAAAGAAGACCCCTGGTTGGTTATTCAATCTAAAGTAGTTATCCCTAAAGACTTGTACATGTGAACATCATTGGATGGACTTGGTAGATTCTCTCCTCTCTCTTCTCTCCTCCCTCCCTCCTTCCCTTTCCCTCTCTCTCCCCCTCTCTCTGTGCATGTGTGTATAATAATACAATAATAAAGAAGAGTTCATGAATTTGAGTGGAAGTGGTAGAAAACATGGGTGGAGCAGGGGTTGGAGTGGGAGGCATAGTGAGAATGATGTATCTATAATTCTTATGGATGAGAAATATCATTTAATAGATCAATATGAAAATTACATTAGTGGATAAATTAGATGTTCAAATACAAGAAATGTCACTGTTGTGGTCCATACTGCTGTCCCTATTCTTTATATTAGGCATTCTTACTTTAATCTCCATAAATCAGTATTATAATTTATATTGTAGGCTTAACATTTATTTAAAATGTTTCCTACTTTTGTTGAATTCATGTACATGTCTGTGTTTTCTAGAACTCAGAAAGAAAAGTAAGGCGGAGATGAAAGCCCAAGACAAGACTGAATTACAGTGTGAGACCTTGTTTCAAAACAAATAAGGCCATAAATAATGCAATTTTTAACTTAAAAATTAATAGAAATAATATTCTCACCTAACCATCTTGATTTTGCTATTCTAAATAATAAACAGATGTATACGTAATTTGCAAAGTATTATAATACCAGAGTCTGCTTAATATTATCTTTCCATTTTTACCACAAACTGTTTTCCTTCTGCCAAGTTGGTCCACATAGAATATGATTGTGGTTAAACAGTCAAGAAAAGGAAGATGGAAGGAAGGAAAGGAGGGGAGGGCAACAAAGAGAAAAACTGTCAGACTCATCACATCCTGAATTATATAGAGTAGCTAAATTATAAGACAGAACTGTCAGATGGGTCAGCCTAATACCAGGAGAAACTATACAAGTATGCAGGATTGAGTAGAAATGTTTCTTATCTTTATTGTAACTTTCAGAAAATTTGAGATACAGAAAAAAAAAAAAACCAAGTTTCAGACGCCAAACAAATAGACAAGAAAAAAATATGTGTGCTGGAAATGATTCTGAACAAAAATACCTATTATTTTTAATATTATTAATCCTAAAATAAAAAAAACACAGGATATTATTATTACTTGCATTATTATTATTATTATTACAAGCATGAGCCTGGAGCTTAAAAGAAATGAGTCAGACACAGAAAGACAAATATTGTTATGATCTTATTTATATGTGGAG